ATTTCGTAAATTTTACAGTTTTGTCACTGATGATAATTCACTATATAAGCTCACATATTATTATCGGAGGCTTAGACAGACGGCCTCTTGGTTGGCATGAAACCAGGTCCAACAACATTGAGGATTATTCTTGTTAAAATGACATTTACAGGAAGTGACATATTATTTATCTTACTTATTTTATTCAGTTGATCAAAACACATACGTGACAATATCATAACATATTCCACAGCAAACTAATCTATATATCTAAATATACAGACATTTGTATACCAGACATCTGTATACGACCACATCAAACATTTCAGACATATCATACATTCCTGTTTTGAGGTACTTTAGTATGATGCATAAGATTTCAATCGATCCAAGATGTCAGTTTAGAACATTGGAATAAATCTAGTCATAATAGGCATGTGTTGTTTTTTTACAGAAAGGAAATGGAGATAGACAGGTAATCACAAAGACAAGCATAAATAAACAAAAACAAATAGCAGACAAGCGCACAGAGACAAGAAATATCAGATTGAGTAAGATATTCAGACAGACCAACACAAAGACATAAGCAGAAAGACTATTGACACAGAGACAAGTGTCCACGGATTAGAGAGAGACAGGACTGACACAGGGACAAATGTCGACGGATTAGAGAGAAACAGGACATTCAAAACTCAAAATATATATAATTAAATAGACAATTGCTCTAAACCAACTCTCAGAGTTCCGAAGACATCAATAGATAAGATTGGGTATTAACAGATATGACAGAAAACTAGTCAATTTCAGTCTAGATAAGTAAAAGTTTTTTTCCCATTTACCCCACTCTCTGTTGAAACTTTCAAGAGAAGCATCACCCTTGGCCGTTGCTATGTATGTTTTTACATTGTTGTGGTCGTTTAATAAACTGATCTTGTAATTCATGTTTCAAGTGGTGTCAAAGCATCTAGCTTTGTAAATGTAGTGTTTAATGATGATGTTAATTTCATTGTCAATTTTACTGAACTCATTTCTAATTGGCCAGAAAAATTAATGACTCTTTATCTATAGTTAAATGAATCAGAAGAGCTTCTAAGAGTATTTCCAAGCTCTGTAGAAAATTTTGAACTTTTTGACATTCCCAAAAATATGAGTTATGGTTTCTTACTCTGATTCACAAAAAGTACAAAGTGGACTTACAATTATGGTTGTCTTAAATAGTAGTGTAGTCAAAATAATATGTAAAATTTTATACTGAAACCACTAAAGTTTAGAATCATTTGTTACTTTAAACGGTAAAGAATAAAATTGATGCCTATTTGAAGTTAACAAAGCCAAACTGATTTTCTCATTTTTTTGATAAGATATAGATATTTTGCTCCTTGAATCCTATTGAAAAAAAAGTTCAATGTTAAAAGGAATGAAGGGAAGGAGGCATTTTATATCTTGTATCCTTTGTGTATTAATAGATAATTTAACAAAGTAAACCCGACTTTGAAAAAGCAGAAAGTTTGAATACCGCATATTATGACGTCATCGTTGCGTTGATACTTATGTTCATAGACATCCACGGATGGTATGTTGCTTTACAAGAATTAAAACAAGATGCGAAACTAAGACAAAGTTATATTTATAATCAAACTTAACGTGCTTGTATGTATACAATGCATCGACAGAAGCAATATGTTTACTTTATAATTATGTAATTTTATATGATATGAAAACGGATGTGTTGCAATTTGAAATCAGTAAAAAACTGATTTGATCAAGAAAATGTTGATGATTTGAGTTCTGTTTCCATATCTAATGGGATCTTGTCAACTTTCATACAATGTTATGGCCCTTGGTCCACCATTGCCTTTCTTGATTTAGACATGACATAGATATGACATTACCTACTTCTGTGAACCTGCTGTTTGTTAAAAGATGACAAAACAATCATTTGCGTTTATAATGTTCTTAGCGTTTGTTTATATTGAAGTGCACTTCTCTCTTTTCTTGTTGTCTTCTGAAACAACATTCTTTTTAGATCATGGAAACGGAAGCTTTTTTCCACAGATATAACGAGCTGCCTGTGATTTTCTTGTGTATAAAGAATTGGTTTTTTTTTTTTTTTTTTTTTGTTTTTTTGTTTTTGCTATTTGTTTTTGTTTTGTTTTTTGTTGATGTTTTTTCTGGGTTCTGTTTTAACAATCATGAAACATCTGTTGTCACTACATAAAAACTTCCTGTATTAGTAAAACATTTGTTCGGTTATAGGATTATCCAACAATATGAAATATGCACTACATTAAACCTTTGTTTTGGAGTCCTTAACAAAGATAAAATTATTAGAGACTTTCTGATTAAAACGGTACAAATTTACACTCGCCAATATTTGTCAAATTGCTCTTCACTGTATGAAATTCTTTGGAATTCACGCTAGGTTCATTATAGGATGTTAATGGGAGGAAGTTCTACATCTTAATATGTGAATGTCTTATTTATTATTTCCATCCAAGATGTCGACAGTATATGTTGATAAACACTATTGAGAAGGTTTTTGGTCACCCTAGTGACTAGATCATTTGGTCGATGATATAATGATTTATGTTGGTATTTATGATATTGTACGAAAGACACATAAGTGAAATACACCTTTCAATACAAATTTCGAGTTAGATAAGTAGACACAAACATTCAATTATACTTCATTAAACAGTTGTTCCGTTCTCCTATAATCTACTCACCAATTATGCTAAGGATATAATTGTTCAATTTTGGAGAGGAACATACGTTCGACAACTTGATCGACAGAAATGTCAAAAATCTAGATAGGGAGTTGCACCAGCCCCATAATGCTATAAATTTCCTAATTTTATGTTCTGATAATTTTTGAAGAATGTCAACTACACGTGTATATTCTATACCGTGCCACTATTGGAAATCGCAGCATTGCACAAAACCTCAAACCACAACCACAATTCATATTCATATTTATATGAAGAAAAAACAACAGGAGAATACCAACATATCAACATAATCATAATCCAAAGTCTTATCCAACAAAAGCTCAGGCAAAATATAAACAAAATGAAGATTTATATGGGAACTCCTGAAAAGGTACAGTGAGAATAAGTTCAGGTGTTTCGGAAGACTAAGCGTCATTTTGAACAACTTCCAAATTATACATCAATATTTTGCAGTAAAATAACAATTCAATAGAGAAATTAAAACGATGTAAAATAACTCTGTTATTTCCCTTTTTCTCCTTTTCTAGATGTCGTTGTAAAAAGTATTGACCCAAAATCAAAACAAAAAATATTAAGTACCTATTTTACTTACAAGTCTTCATTAAACTTCTTCGCCCTAAACATTTTGTCATACTGCATAATAACAAATACTTGTTAGGAATCCAAGTGAAGATTCAGAATGTTACGTTATTTCCAGTACTACCAAAGCTTTTTTAATCGAAGTCCATTTTGACAGGTGATGCATACATTTCAATGTGGCATGTCAACAACTGGCAAACGTACTACACAAGGTGTCGATGAAGATTATGGAGAAGCTGACTTCTCGTCCTTATGACCTCATTAAGATGTTCGTTACGAAGCCTGGTCGTTCCGTTGTTGTTTACCATATTATCATTTGGGAATGTGACATTACATACATGGATTCCAAAGGGTTACATGACAACCATCGTCGACTCGTCCAAGTTATGTTTGAATACAAATTCTGTTAAAAATGTCGGTATTGTCTTTGTTTTTATTTGGTTGTACTACTTATGATGATGAATGGAAGAAATTGAGTTTTGTTAGCAAATATATTGTCAAAGGAATTTGTGTCTTTGAGAAGATATATTTGATAGAGTTAAGAATCTACTGTACATAGCTACATTTTTATTTGTTCAGACCTCACGGTGAGCTGTTGAGTGCATTTCTTCTCTAAAAAGCTATTTTCCGTATAACAAAATATTGAAATGATAATTTCTAAGCGTTATTACTAATCTTTTAAATACAAATTTATAGTCTATCGTAAAACAAAGGCTTTACAGTTTGATGTGTCTTTGAACAGATGTTCCTGTGTTACAACAAATTTATATGTGACGTTTTAATTGCCCGCGCTGTCACCTTCATCATACAAATGACGCGTGTGAATTGCACTTGCAATGTTGTAAACGGTGTACAAGATTTTAATAAAAATCACGGGATTTTTCACCTTTCGTGGAATCCTAAGTACGCTTTATGTGGGAAGTAGAGTGATGAAATGACAATAAGATTAAACTAAAAGAGGTCGAATTGGTGAATATTTCTACTTATATAAGTCGGTAACAATGTCTTAAACAGCAAAATAGATTCGGCTACGCTTTATTCAAAACTTTGTCTTTAAAATGCGAGAATCTATAGGTCCCCTCGTCCCTGTTTAGTACCGTTTTGCGGCTTTTAAACAAATGACAAATGCTGAGGTTTTTGTTTTTCGTTCATATACATGTATACTTATTTTACCCTTTATTTATAAACTAAGGCAAAGTTTGCTTATAAACATCACAACAAAGTTTATTCATACAAATAAATACATAAAAAACAAGAATACACACACCACAATATGATGGTCATGGTTTGGGAACTACCTTGTAACATAGTTATATAACTTATAACACATAGAAAAGGATAGAAAAATGTCAGTTTCTCAAAACGTTATTTTTTTTAAAAATTTTTGAAATAGTGTATTTTTTCATGTTTATTGTTTCATTAATATTTAACGTTTCTCGAGACTGGGACATAAGGCGAGGGTGATGATGCAGGGAGCTTATTGAAACTAATATAACTGAATGTCGCATACACATTTAGCTTTGTATTGAAATTAGAAATGCTACTGCTTCTTTCTGGCACATATTTTCAATAAACATGTAAAATTAAGAAAATGCAATTAAGTATATAAGCCCATATGGTTAAAACATGATAGACGTAGTTATATTTATTAATTGAGTTCATCAGACTGTCCCTGTTGAGATGAAAACCATAGATGATTGTCTTGGGGATGTTCTAAGACATACCGGGATGATATGGCCGTGTGTTACCAGCCTGTGTAGCATTAGTATCTACAGAATACCTGCAACAGATAAGCATATGAAAAATGTAAATACATGTGAATTACAATTAAATAAACAGTTAAAAAATATAGGTTTTAACAATGATAAAAAGACGAGTGTATGCTGTGTATTTTATGTGATGACAGAAAAAAAACTTAATCAAAGGGAAAATAAAATTAGTGACGATATACAAGATATGTTGTGGTGTCTTGTCTTTCTTTGGTAAGCTGACTTCTGGTATTATACCGACATACGCTGAGGATGTGCAAATTGACACATATATCTGGAGGTCAGGTATACTAATGCTATTGTTTTTATCACATTATTTCCTTGTTCACTGGGAATACCGTGTAATGTTTTAGCATATTATAAATATGTATGTGATACAGTATTTTGTGACGTCAGATTTTGATATGAAATAATGTCTTACAATCACTGAATGTATTGTGATATTTCATTGCAAAAAATAAATACAAAACCGAAACGACTTCAAGTTGGACGTGAAAATATCTGTTTTCTGAAATATCTCCGAGAATAATCAATTTTGAGATTAAAAATTATCTGATTTTTTCCACAATTTTAGTGATTTATGAATGTCGTCACAACTTGTTTTTCATTGTATCATTATTCGACTCATTTCATAAGCACATGTATGAAACGGACACTCATGTAAGATTATAAGTAATTGTTAACCTACCAAGTAAATCCAATGTTCTGAACTGAGTTCCTATATCACTTGACAGAAGTCCATTTGAAGATAGATCATTTGAAGATAGGCCACCTAAAGACAGACCGCGTGAAGATAGACCACGTGAGAATAGACCACTTGATGATAGACCGCCTGACGTTAGACCGCTTGGCAGAAGACCACGTGACAGAAATCCTCCGCGGGAGGGCGCTCTCCTGATAATGATAGGGTTGTTCGCTCGGATTGTGTAAATCTTTATATCGGAAGAATCCGTTAGATCTCGCCTGTCCGGTCTATCGGGTCTGTCCGGTTTATCGATTAAGCTTGACACTACAATCATAAGATAGGAAATTTTAGTACATGCATATAGTTGCTAAGAGATAAATATGAAAAAGTGTGTAATTACCTGTTTATTCGTTACTTTTCATGTACAGTGAAAAAAGTAATTTCATACGGATGTGGTATCTAATAAATTCGCAAAAATTGAGGGGGAAAAGCTAGGAAAATTAACTTAAGCATCATTTATCTATTTACAGTAAATCTAAACGATTGCTGAATAACAACTTCCATACCTTAAGGCAATAAATTTTTTCAAGATTTGTGCTATTTACACCGGGCGTATCATTTCTATGGTCGATATTTGGATATCAAAATGTACCAATTGAAATCTTCCAAGTTTTAATGCCTTGAAATTAATGTCAAATATTCTTTGCGATAACTCAGTATTGGCATTTATATATAATAAGTTAGATTCAATGTTTTTAAAACTCTTTCAATATGTTTTGTTATACGAAAGAACAAGGGTGTTTAATCGTTTTTTCCCTCTCCCCATGAAACAAAATAAAGCAACAATATTAGGTGATGTACGCATAAGCTTACCAGTCATTAACACAGATTTTTTTTTCAAATTTTGATGAAAAGCAAACAAGTTTTCATGAATATATCATTCGTGTTTTGGTAAAATTCTGCAATGTTATAATTTGTATACCTTGTATTTCATAAAATTTGTTTCATGAGAAAAAAACAAAACTGCAGTTAAGCACAAAAGTCATACAATATTATGCAATAGCTTTCAATCTATTTGACAAAGACTGAGAGCAAACACTTCATAAAAAAAAAACGGAAAACAAAACAATAAAAATCTTCAACCAACTAAAATTCCAAACTTTCACCGGGACATTTGTCAACTTTCTTAAGTCTCTATCCATTTTATTGTTTAATAAAAGCAAATTATTTATTATCATTTAGAATTATCTTTTTCTGATAAGAAACCCAATGCATCCTGATGAGCACGAATATAATGAAATACATCCGGGTTACTCACATAGCAATCTCTGTAAATCCAAATCCGAGGCCCTTCTGCGTAGTGATTGGCTAATTGTTGATGACGTCGACACAAGGACAACGACGCAAAACAATAAAATCCTAGCCGACATGGCGCCTTGGTTATGTCTGGTCTGAAAAATAATGACATAAAGCATACATCAAATGGTCAGTATTGACCAATTTGGTCGTATCGTTGATTGACCACAGGACGTAGCGAGCAGCGCTTGAGTGACACTTATTAATCTGTTTGCGCTACCTACAGCTAACCCTATACAAGTATGGACGTATGTATTACCCAATACAAAATACGTCTTTGTATTGGTCAGTGTTTTATTACAATGTTTACACTTTATGTATAACTCTGTATATACCCCCCTCCTTAACTTAGACTGACCTTGAGGTTCCCTGACTATATGTTAGTACATACGTACCTAAGGTGTTGGTCATTAGAATTGTATCTACATGTAATCTGCTCTTTGACATTTCCTTTATGCTTATCGTTTGCCTACTTTTGGTTTAGGTTACGACAATTCCGAGTTGAAGCTTCCCAACTTCCCAGGAAGACAACCCCGCCGTTCACATTATACTGACAACTGGCAGACCATCTGTTACAGTACAATTTTGAGCGTTAAAAATTGAGTAGTAGGTATCCTTTTTTAAAGATAATCTGTAATTTCTTGGATCACAAAAAAACGAACACTCAACTATAGGTCACCAGTGAGGCGATGTCAATGAAGAAGAAACAGTAGTACAGAAAGAAAAGAGGAAATTCTAAAATCAGTCTCCTCTAACGAATCATGCTGAGATGTATCAGATACAATTCTGACAGCCTACCTGCAAGAATTTCATCTTTTGTAGATTTGGAGAACTAATTATCATTCATAACATATTGCAACAATGAAATTAATTATTTTCCATAGCAAAATTTTCATTACGGCTAGAATAAAAATGTAAGTTTTCTTATAATAAAATATACCGTTCTTCTCTACGTTTGTAAAATGGAAACAGCGACTAATTCGTTGCTAATTTCAGATAGAGCTCTAACGTGGCTATACCCTTGTATAACCACTTCATGTTGTAATACTTGATATTCTAGATATCGCTGACGGGGTTCATATCTGGTCGAGAGACAACTATTGTTTATATTTAAGACTACTTAAGACCAGGCGTAATTTATCAACAATAATCATTGTATTGATAAAAACATTTAAATTAGAATTTTAAAAAGTGTGTTTTTCATTGTAAATTCAGATTTTTTTAACAGAAAGTATATATCTTGGTTATGCAAAAGATTTGTTTTTCATTTTTTTGTGACGATTTGCTACAATTTCGAAAAAAGCGAAAATCAGATCTCCGCGAAAATAACGGTGTTACAGTATATATGCTATCGAATAGACTACCAATGAATATGAATTAGTATATTCACATCATTTTAGCGCCTTGTCAGGCTTAAACAAATTAGTGCAACTATGCATTTACGTATCCACACTCATTGTTGAACAACATGCAAAGACTGCATTCTACGCATTGATATTTAAGTGAATATTTTCCGGGCTAAAAAGTCCTAAAATAGTATTGCCTCTTAAAATATACGTTTACAGAAAATATTTCTTGGCGATATTTTTGTCAATTTACATATGGTCGGTAGAGCTCGAATTCTTTATCATGCGATCATTTAAAAGTAATGTTAATTAATTAACTTATTGATTTATACAAACTGTTCTGTTGCTATTTCTTGTTGTTTTTAGCAAGTATTGTAATAACTAAATCATTTATGTCAGTATTAGCACGCCATTAGTGTGTTTTAAGTCTTCAAGCGAACCAATGACGATGTCACAAAGACAATAACGATGAATAATAAGGTCACTCAAGAGCGTTACTTAGAGTCGTCATACAAAGATAACAAACTGGACACGGTGTAATGACATCTCACCTGGTTACATTATACCGACAGCGCACTAAACAGTCCAAAGCGCTCACTAATTTATACGCACACAGTATCATAACACCTCATCCGGTTACATTATACCGACAGTGGTGCCTTTTTAGACAAGAGAAAAGTTGTCAGGGACAACTGTCTATAAACTATTATGGTACTGCAAACGTCGTGAATAATAGCTTCACCTTGGTGACCATGACGCTGTAAGGGTAAAGTAAGCATGCATTCCTCCTAGAAGACGAGTATTCAGAAATGTTTTCGGTGATCAGTCACAGAAAATGGGCAGTGGCATATTAAACATGAAATTTTCTGCCTACAATTGTCAACTGATGCAATAATATGAGTCGTTCTTGTTTTTCTTTGGCTTCTTTTTGAAATAGCGCATACAGCCTTAATGTTGTCGATCATGACGTCATTTTGATGTAGCGCGAACGATAACTGTTTAAGCCTCCACATATATCTACTGCGAGAACTTTTCGACGCCTTACTTTGAATGAAGCATTAAGAAAAACTGGATTGTTTTTTTCATCGCGAAACTACATTCATGAATTCTTTGAAATGAAAGTGAACGACAAAAGATTTTGATCTGAACAAATACCTAAATATTTCTTTACCTATTTGGGTCAAATCAAGCTACATAAAACTGTAAAGGCGTCCATAGACAAAGAGTTTCAAATCTTTATCTATGTACATTTGAATTAATCAGGCTAATCATGGTGTATTGCGATCACTACATCATAAATGGTATCAGTTTAGTTTATAGTACCGTACATTCGATAGGCGCTGATACATTATCATTCATCATAATTATCCTCAATATTCCTAATTATTAAATAGACACAATTTAGCTCAGACGCAAACGTCTGAAAATAATAATAAAACTGAAGAACACGAACTTTTAAACACGTTAAATAAATCCAATAGTTATACCAAATTAGTATTCAATTATACCAAATTTGTTACAAATGTTATCCTGTCTTACCTGGTACTGAGTGGCCGGTCTGGAGCGGTACTGGCAGTGGTGTGAACCGTACCATTATATATACAGTCATATCTAGGCAAACGTATTTTAATGGTTCTGTTTATTGGACGCCTTCGCACCCAATACTGAACGAAAACACCTAGTAGGCGGGCATGCATGGTTTGCGTAGTGTCATGTTGATATACATTTTATTATTTAAATCTGTGCCTATATGCTGGTAGTCATAACACCTATGACGGAAGCGATAAATTATCAGTAAACGTGTTCGTTCTAACGTACACATAACATGTGTAATTGCTCCTAAAGCGTACACGGCGAATTCGTATCTCCGTATATTTATATCTTACTGTGTATATATTATCTTGGGGCTAGTGTATTATATCGGGATTAGGACATTTACTTTATCGGTCAGGATAAAAGACAACCTCAAAACTAAGATGACAGGACAATTGAATGACAAGCAAACTCTATACAAAGATAATGCCATCAGTCAAAAGTTTGAGGAATTTTGAATAGCATTTCGTCAAGGGAAATAACTAGTTACTACAAAAACGTGAGTAGTATATGGTAAATCAGCATTGTTCTACCAAATATTAAATTATAAGCTACAAAGTGATCTGTAACCTAAAACGTGTCTGCGTGTGCAAAATACTGCACACATTTTGAAGAAGTACGTAGGAAACATTCGAGGTAGGGACAATGAAAGGTCTTCGATAACGTAAAGTATGTTCCTAAACAATCCAAAAATTTGTCTTTCAGTAGGAAATAACAATGCTGTGTAAAAGAGATGTTTAAGACATTTTTAATAAAGTTTTCTCTCACAAACATCGTCTGGTTCTCAAGCTATCAAGGCCCTAGTCATGCCATCAAAAAGTTCGGGTTCATTTCGGTAAGATTCGCATGTCTGAATCAATACATGACCCTTGCAGCTATACAACGTCACAAAGCAGCCAATTAGAATATATTACCTTATCAGACAATGGTATACATACATGTCACGTGTTCAAACTCGATGAATATCGAAATTCAATGCACGTGTTTGTAAGTAAAACTTAGCTGTGAAATATGTGTCCGACTTGCATCTTATGTTCTGATATTCAAATTCCATTCATGCTATTTTCTCTCTCTCTCTCTCTCTCTCTCTCTCTCTCTCTCTCTCTCTCTCTCTCTCTCTCTCTCTCTCTCTCTCTCTCTCTGATGTAATGATAATACTTGCTGACTATCTACGTTCTCTCAGAGTTACACATTTCGATGTATTTTTTGTTGAATCGGCGTTTCTTTTCTTCGCCAGCTTCTAGTATATATGTATCCTGTTGTTTGCTGATTTCTCTCCCGATATTAAACAACTTTGGCTATCAATAAAACAAAGGTAAATGTATTTATGATTTTAATATATATATAGGCTTGATTTTTCTTTATTCATTTTTTGTTTCCTAATATATTAATGAATTGTGAAGCAAATAGTAATCATTTTTAATGGTTTGGTTGCGTTGTTGTATACTTTGTTCTCATTTGGGAACGTCACATAACTAACTTGGATTGACCAAGGTTTACATGGTGGCTGTCGTCGATGAAGCAGAAGACGCTTACTCTTCCAGAGCACCTGGTCTTAATATCTTTGTGGCTTAACAGGATTTTCCATGTAAATATTGTGTTTGCTCTTTTGTCCTGGCTTTATTGAAATATAAGTTTAGATTATGCTTTTGTTCAAATGTTGATATTTTCTTGTTGTTTCTGTTTCGTTAGTTAAAAACACGGATATCTGTTTTTTAGTAAAGCCTGCAAAATAAGCAGGCAACACACGACTCATCATACCAACATATGGCATGTGTAGAATGTTTGGGTTGGTAGGGCTGCTTAATTGTTTTCCTAAACATGAAACATTTTTGTTTACTTTTGCGGAGATATAAATGGTGAAGAGCTGGGAAAAGAATCGCAATATTTCATTTACAGAATAGACTTTCTGAAATCATAACAAACGTATTGATTCATTTATAATGTTTATTGATTATAAAGTAATATATCATTAATTATTCGTCTCTTAAGTGCGATAAATTGTTCAACTGCAAATATTTAGGTTTTGTACACTTGTTTTTATTACGACATCAAAACCTCTGTCAACAGAATAGGCAATATTTAAATATATATTTTTTAACGAAAAGGTTTTCTTTTGCTATATAGAATCTAATAAAGTCATGTCATATTCAATTAATGGTTCATTATCACAGAGGTCTATTGAAACATGAAAATCGTCAACACAAATGTGTCAATCATGCCAATAAAATGCGTTAAGTTTAGATGAGTTAATCCGCCATTTTCTCAGTTACGGTTGTCTCCCTTGACATCGGGTCTTTATTGCCTCGTGACCTTGTAAGACATCATGTTGGGTTGTTGCTATAAAACAGAGTCACATGTTTTTATCATTACTTACATGTGTCGTATCTGTTGATTATATATGTACATCGTATTTATCATATACACGTACCATTGGGGTAAATAATCTATGGTAGCATTATAGACGTATATCTCTGTACTATAAAAAGCAGACTTCTTAATGTTGCTAAAATAAAACAAAGCATTGTTTCTGTGTCACTTTCTCAACAGCGGAAGAGAAGACATCAAATCACTACATAACAGAATGCTTTTTATTTGTATATTTTTTACATAATATACGAAAAAAAAGTTTTCATCTAGGCCGGAGAAAGGGAATTTTTCGTTCTATCAATGTGAGGTTGCAATATTGAACGCAATGATTTTATCTTGCCCAGAACAACAATTTTTTATATATGTTTTATGTGATTAGATTTCGGACATATTCCTCGAGTCATGTTCAAACATATTCCCACGGAGCCGAGTTTGCCTTGAAAGTCTTTTTGAAATGAAAGAATTCGTTAAACAGTAAGAGAAACACTGACCAAGGACGGGTTTACAACATTGTGTATCATTTTCATCTGAAGGGGTTTTATTTTGTTTCAAGTCATAAGTACATTACAATTTGTTTTCAAGAAGCAAATAGATAAAAACGAAAAAGAAAGAAATAAAGAAGGAAAGAAATGTCAGACATCAGATCTTAGATCAAGAAATAATGTTCTTTTTATAATTTTTAATTTATCTGCCTTCTTAATGTATGGTTTTATATGTATGAGAGGGTGTGGAAAAGGGTGTATGTATGTGTTTTAATGATGACGATGTTGCTGCTGCTGCTGCTGCTGCTGATGATGATGATGATGATGATGATGATGATGATGATGATGATGATTTAAGAATGCATAGATAATGATGATAATAATTTTGGATGTGTGAGTCTTGTTTACTATATATGTTTATATGAAAACCTTTCAAACATAAATAAATACAAAGCAAACTTTAATACATTTCAAAAACAAACAAACAAAACAAAAAATCTGTCTCAACAATTAAGTTGTGGTAAACTATTCGGAGTTAATTGTGTCAAAGAAATAAATGGTTTACGGTTCATTGCACAGAAGGCGGGAAAGACTTTGACGGATTTTACACTGAAATTGGGAAATAATGACAAGCAAAGTGCAACCATATTAAATCTAAAAACACCTACTATACATTATTGGTTCGAAAGCATCCATTGATTCATGTAGCTTCTTTTACTGAGGAAAAACAATAAATCTGTTCACGTCAATGTGTTGACTTTATACAACGACATCGAATTTATCACTAAGTTATCGACACTGATATGTACAAATGGGATTTGTCAATCAACGCTGTAATGCCGTAGTTGAAGGGTTTCCGTAAACACAGTGATATAGATTTATTGTCATATTTAGGTCTGAGAAACTTGCCTACGTCTACGGTTATCAAAGTTTTATCAAAGTCAGCTCTATCTTTAAATGTTTGTCTTACATTGTAAAGTTGATAAAGACAAATACTAATGTTGGCAATATCACAGTGAAAAAAATCTAGTTATAAATATAATAATGTCTTATTGAATAAAAATAATATTGAAATGAAAAAAAACTTTAGGCAATGCATATATTCCTGAATACATTACAAGTGGTATATATGCATTATGGTGCAACGCCTGTTTTGTTCTGTTTGAATAGCAAAATATTTGCCGCAAAACTTTGCCGCAAATATATACATCACTGAGGTCACTAGTCAGTATAGTGTATAACTAACAAATATCACTGAGGTTACTAGTCAGTATAGTGTATAACTAACAAATATCACTGAGGTCACTAGTCAGTATCGTGTGTAACTAACAAATATCACTGAGGTCACTAGTCAATATCATGTATAACTAACAAATATCACTGAGGTCAGTAGTCAGTATCGTGTATAACTAACAAATATCACTGAGGTCAGTATCGTGTGTAACTAACGAATATCACTGAGGTCACTAGTCAGTATCGTGTGTAACTAACAAATATCACTGAGGTCACTAGTCAGTATGGTGTGTATCATTTAGATGAAGTGATGCACTAGCCCCTTGCTTAACTTAAAATTGTAATCTTCCATAATTCTGTAATTTATATTAAGTTAGCTTACTCCATCCAACCACTTAACAGTAGTACTCTTCATCTTGATACATAAATCGCCATATTGTATGAACTTTGTAATTGAGTGATGAAATAACGGAGACAAAAATCTCCATCCTATAATCAATAGTCTAACACGAAATATGTATATACTTCCGACTGCTTTAGATGTGATGACAAATGTTTGATGCATTCTGTAGAAGACGGCACCAAAACGGAACTTGGCAAATATGTTGCATTGGTGAGCATTGCAGATGTTCTATTTGTCACTCGATGTATGGTTCAGGCAAAAGGAATTAATAGAATTTAACTTTTTTATGGAGTGTGATGTTTTGTATCTAATATTTCTTGTTTATATTCAATTTTTCATTGAAATCAGAGAAGAATATAGATAACTAGTTGGATGCTATGATACATTTTCTGGAATAACAAACAGACACATATATGATATACATATGTAGTTCAGACATTTGTTGTGTTGTATAAGCGGCATGTGCACTATAAAGTTGTCCCACTTCAGGCATCTAGTGATTAATATATCACCTTTTATCGGCATGATCAAAGCAAACATACAGGTAGGTCAAATAAAAGGTATACATGTCTGCTTGTTTATGTACGTTTGATTACAGAATTAGCAAAAGGTGTAAACATGTTCCGGAACTTCCCGTCTCCCTTTTTGACTGTTAATGCTATCCGGGAGCAACGTGGACAGGATCGGTGAGGTCAGCGTTAGAGATAAATGTTCTTTGTGTTGTTTATTGCTAAACCATCCAATATCGGTCACATTATTCTATTCCCTTTTTTCATACTGAAATTTCATGTATCTGTTACTTTAAGTCACAATATTTCTATGTTTTCAAAACTACCATTCATCAAATATGAAGAAGTGTTTAGTGTAAAACGCAGGTAAATCCAAGGTAAAAATCCAGGTTAAGGAAGACAGCTTATATGAAATGGTTTATAATCGACTTGCCATTGTTCCCTAAAACAACATTTTCCAATTGTTTAAAAACAAAGTTGGCGTTCAGAGAATCATCAATTCAATTAGTTTAGTCTGTAAGTCATACGACTTATCAGATGAAGTACACAATATCTATACATATTAACATGTTAAACACACTAACGATGTCCCTTCCATAAGCCATTTGTGGTCAACGAAATCATTGGATTAGTTATATAGTTCAGCAAGGTCCTGGATCCTGACCGTCTTATGGTAATAGATGGAGGAGAACAACAGTTAGCATGCAACTGACAATTAGCCAAGTGAAAACGGAATAAAAATGTGAAATTATCTTGTAATGTTATCAAAATGGTTGCGCTCTTGCAAAAAAGTCAGGAGGTAGCTTATTAATAACATTCATATTGTCCATTAAACAAAACTTCATTGGCTTTGACTAGAAAAGGATTTGAATTTGTTTTGTTGAGGAAGTTAAACTATTTTATAGTCAAATTTTATTGCTACTGATGAGATTCTTGTCATGTAATTTATCACGACTTTGACCTCGGCCTGTCAAATAGAATGCTCTTTTCTAAATATAGCAATGATTGATCCTGTCAATGAAGGAAAGGAACCGCAATGAAGCATTTTCTTTAATTTGCCTAAATTCCTTCCTAAAGTATCAAATAAAGATTAATGTATGCTAATATGAACATTGCTTGTAACAATTTCGCTATTTTACAAGAAGAAGTTTGAAGCTGTATTTGTTTTGGTTGGTTGGTTTGATTGGTTGGTTGGTTAACAGGTTTTCCGTCTCCATGACTCCTTCTGTTGCCGGGTATCGCCCCACCGACGGTCATCAGTGTTCTGGTGACGTCGAAGCCATATTTCCGCCCGAAGTAAACTTTTGTGACGGTGTTATTTCTGAGATAAGTTTTGTATTTATTCCAACGGAATACTGAATGAAAAACCTGAAAGTCTGTTAATATCTGTTACTGGTAATCCCGAACAGTTGTTCGTTGGTTAAAAAAGTCACTGATATCTACTGATGTGCGAAAAATATGAAAATATATCACCAGAACATCGTTAAAAGCTGTTCCTATGATATATAGTTGGTTGATGAAAGAAACAAAAATGCATTTCAGATAAACCAACATTTTATTTTTATCACAACACACTAAAACCAATGGAAATCAGAGATGTCACTTCCGTATTCTTGGGAGAACAAGGCTTAGTAACCTCCCATACCTGTAAAATAGGGGAAAATAATAGATTTAGAAAGTAATAATTACAATGACACAAATATGTATTAAAATCCGACATCTTTAGATGGGACTATACTCATCTTAGAAATCAATAATATGCACGCACTTTACCGTTATCGATCAGCAATTAGCTGACATACCTGTCTGTCATAGATCACTATCTCCCCATTACATTATTTAGCAAATCTTATCTGTATGCAATTCTCTATGTGAATGAGATTGGAAATGAAAGCATTTTGGCAATGCCATACAATTGTTTTAGCACGACATATATAAATTAAAACTTAATTTTAGAATAACCACTAGTTCAACATGAAGTTAAATCAAATCTTACCAAATTTCTTTCCTGATCCGAATCCGGATCCTCCAATGATGAATCCATTGTTTCCACCGTATCCCTTACTGATGCCGCCGTATCCACCACCATATCCTCCACCAATGATGAGACCACCATTTCCAATTCCGGATCCGTAACCACCGTATCCCTTGGATACGATCATTCTCCTTCCGTAACCTTTGCCATACCCTCCGTAGCCTTTTCCGTATCCCCCGTAGCCTCCGATAGAAATGCCTCCCTTGTATCCCCCGTAACCTCCACTGTAGTATGACGGTCCTCCATATGACCCGTATCCATGGCCTATTCCATGTCCAATGCCGATCCCAATTCCTCCGTTATATTCATCATTGTCATACCACTGAGCCATGGCGCCAGCCAAACACACAGCAAGAACGGCAAACTTCAGCATGATTGCGGCGTATATCTGTAGGAAAAATATATATCGAACGGTTACAGACGAATCTACTAGCTGTAGAATTCTACGTTTCCAACACGAAATTCGGCAAAAGCTAGATCAAAGGAATGCCTTATCTTTGAATCTGGTCATAAGTCGGTTTTGAGATAAAAAGTAAGGATGTTCTGTTTAATTCAAGAAGTAGATATACAGTAAAGTGAAAAGCAGATTCTTTAAAGTCGTAGAAAGTTATATTCCAGAACTATACTACATCTTTTCTAAGGTAAATAAATTGATACTATATATACTCATATATATCTAGGGAATGATATCAATGTTTTAGAATCCAACATCAATAATTCTCAAGTAAGTTTATCCAAAACGAATCAACAGTTTTCTAATACGTACGTACGATAGATATGGCAGGTTCGAACAACAAAGCATATGATTGACTTTAGACAAGCTTTCTGTTATACATTGTTCCGCTCGATTAATATATCTAGGCTCGATAGTTTCCGTATTTCTTTTTTTTACGGAAAGTGCCGACAGTTTCTGATCATACTTACTGTAGTATTTATGCAGAATTCGAGAATGTGTAAATGAATTGGTTGTATATTTCTTACATTTACTAAGATTCTAATTTTTGTCTGCTTGAAGAGAAACCCGAGTAGATGTCGTTAAGTAAGAAAACAAGAACCACTTACCTCGCTTTGGAAAACGGAAAAGATTGTGAGCTCCTGATTCGTAGATGGAAACGAATGACAACTGTTGCAAATCACGACTCTTATATAGAGATTCCGAAATTCTGTAGCAAGCCATGTTTCAATAAAAATGACATATAACTGTAACACTGTATGCGTACTGGTTGTTACGTAAGCGGCCCTCAGGGGAACGTCACCATTGTGCTTACGGTATATGACAATAAGACCACAGAGAGAAACTACGGGACGAAGACAGGCGAGAGGACATAAGATGTCATTATACTGATTACGGGCTGTGCATATGTGATTATCATTTGTCAGTTATACGAGTGATTGCCATTTTATCCCTGCGTCATGGTAATAGTAGCTCGACTTTGGTTGCGTAAGGAATGGGGTAATAAAAAGAATAGGTGAGAGAAAGGTCAAATTATTATACAACGTAAATCCCATATGTCATGAAGACTAAGTAACTATGTTATTAGTCGGTAGCTTTGCAATACCTAGCCCCAGTATCATGATTTTCCTCAACTTAAAAGATTCTCATAAAAACATGAGTTAAGAAAAAACTTAAATCTAAGGATGTTTCCTTAAATTATGTAATGCTTTCCTATGGACATTTTAAGTAAGGAAACTTTCTCAAGAAAATGAATATTGATAAATCTGGGGCTAGTTCATGTCATTGTCGGTCGAGATAGGTGGCGAAATGTTGCTATACCTTTTTTTGTGTACGAATTTAAATTATTGGATCGCAAATGTTAAACAGGGAGTGTCTTTGTACACTGTCTTACACATTAAGCCTTTTTCCATAACGGTATTTAGGTTCATACCATTATAAGACGAGTGTTGAATATGCTTGTCCAATTGTCAATGCCAAATACCATTTCTGTTATTTTAAAATAAATCCCCCTTCTCTCTCTAAACCGTTAGATACATTTGAACGTTGATATTCAATCAAATGTGAAGTAATTAATTTCTTCTGACACAGGAGTGTTAGAATTTATTCCATGGAATTAGTTAAAGTAGTTTGACTCCTCCTAAAACCAAATACTTAAATCTTGTTAAAAGTGTACGCCATGATATTTTCTCGTTTATCTTCTCTTTTTTATTCTTTGTTTTGATATGAAATAAATATTTCACTGTGTCATTAATTTTATCGAAGTGTTGGTATTCTCAGATTACAATTATTCCAAGAGACAACTTGTCTCATTTAACTTAATTTTTTTTTCATTTTCTTAAGTCGACCAAGACGTTATTTTTGACCCGTTTGTTTTTCTCAGGGAGATGTCTGTGCTTTCCCGGTTACCCGAACTAATCTGAATGGAATACGACGGGTCTTCCCTTTGTTGTTCAGTTACGTAGCAACCGGATATTATAAGGAGGTCCTGCCTTAAGGTTGTTGACTGGCGATAAAACCGATACTTTTCCACTTTGACGACACATCAGTTTATATAGAATAGTCTACATCGTGTTTCGTACCAGAAACTGACGTGTATCTCGTTTACAAGCTATTCATACATGTATTTTAGCAATGGCATGGTTCCAAAAATCTTATATTTTATCATGACAAATAATTCCCACTTTTACAGGCAACCTGATAAAACCTTCAAAGTGAAATTCTGAAATTAATTGATACCAATAAAACTTCTTCGCTTCCTTTCCAATAAGAGTATTCTGATAATGTTGTTTACGTAAAGTTATCATTCTTGGGAAATGAAGATTATCGCATTTTGCAAAAAAAAAAAAAAGAAAAAAAAAGAAAATCAAGAAAATATCAACCTGGCAACATTATCATAATTCTAACTCAAATTCCATAAGCTAGGACAAAACATGAACAAAAGATAGAATCACACAGAGACTTCTGACCAGATGTTCCGGAAGAGAAAGCGTCTTCTGCTTCATCGACGACACCCGCCATGCAAACCTTGGTCAATACAAGTAAGTAATGTCACGCTCTCAAATGAGAACGCGGTATACAACAACGAAACCAACAGACAAACTACAGAGCATCAAATATGTCCAGCTTCATGTCGCAAAAAGAAATAGAATAATTCGCTATGAGATAACTATGACGACCATAAATCTTCCCCATAATTTTCATCAACCTGCATCTTTTGAACCCTTGTGTTACGAGTTTGTCAGTCAGTTGACGACTTCTTGCACGAAAATCGTGATAATGAATATCAAATTAGCTGTGACATGGAAATACCATAGATTGGCGACGCAGGAATGTTGCTATCCAAAAATGGAAAATTCACAATAGGGAAATTGAAATCATCATGTTTATAATACAGCTTGATGGAAAGCTGACCATGTTAGTTTCTTTGTAGGAAAGCTCGAGATAATCAGCTGTTGTAGAAGAGTCTGTCGTATATTTGATTTCCAGTTTTGTTTGATATATACGATGGACGTAGTCAAGAAATTTCTTGTTATCTAAAGACAAGACGTCATAAGTATATCTGAAGGTGAAATCAAACGACTTTGCAAGGTCTTTGTGACATATTTTGATAAGTTCTTCAATAAATCCCGTCTTGTATGAAAACAAAAACAAGTCAGCCAACAGAGGGGCGCAGTTGGTATGCTTTTAATCTGTTGGACGATCTTATCACCAGACTCAACAAAAATGTTGTAAACCAAAAACTCGATCATTTTTATGATTTTTGTCCATCGTATATTTCTTCTTTGGTTTGGACGTAAATTTTACGAAATACGCTTCATTATAGTTCACAACAATATATTTATACCGCCGTTCGCCTTTCTTGGAGAAGAAAGCTGCACATAATAGGACAACGTAGACGTTCCTTCAGTTTAGAATGGGGTGATGTACAGGGTGGAAAAATCAAGTGTTCTTGTAGAAGAAATGTTTTGTAGAATAGGGTGTTGAAGTTTGGTCAAAAGCTCTTTGGAGTTCTTCAAAACCCACATACATGTACTATCAATTCCTCCTCTTCAGTAAGCAGTATCACAATAAAACTGTAACCTAGATTTGATGGTACTTAGAATGGTGGCTAGCAGTTTAGACAAAGGCTTGTTTGAACAATTAGACGATCCAGCTATAAAACGTTGTATATGGATTCTTGTGAAGTTTAGGGATCAAGTATAAACGGGGGAGGTCCGTATCCTCTTCATTTATAGGCAATCTAAATGATTGTAATTCCGAAGCATGATTAGCTAGTATTTTGTCTTTTACAAGATTGCATAATGTATAGATGGGGTTTCTTTCATTATCAAACAAGCCCAGCAGTTTTTGTATACAGGAAATGTAATAATGTTTGCAAACAAGGACCGAATTATCAGACGCCTTTATCTGCATGCACAATGACATACCTGTCATGTTAATCTTGAAGTGTGGATTTAATATCAGGATCGAGAAAAGCTGACCTGAGTTTTGGTTTTTCATTTTCGATTTCAAACTGCAAATTATTTCACGAGTGATGGACCGTATGGACTTAGCCCACTCAGAAAGTAAATCCAACGCAGATTGGACTCGTTTGTCCCATTCTCTGGTGTAGTTTTCAACAAAATCCATAAGTATCTTAGAATTAACATTCCAGTTAATGGAAGGGGTTTCATGATATATAGGACCCTTCATGAAAAGTTCTCGTAGCTAAACATTTTGAATAATACTTAAATCTACATTTAAATATCAAAATGGATGTACGCTCATAGTGTTATAATTATACAGTTAAGAGACATTCGACCTCTGGGTAGAAGTCTGCTTTATTTACAATTCTGATGATTGGTACATTCTCTCCTGAATAACTTCAACCTTTAACAAACACTAAACTAAGTTGATCTTTTAGATTATCTCCATTTGGAACCAATTTTGTTGATACCTTTGAAGTTGGTATGGAAGTTTTTCTGAGAATTATTTTTTTAAAAAGGGTCAAGTATGAAAATGGGTCATTTACTTTTAGATTAGATTATTGGCAATGGTGGGTGTTGTTATCGAAAAACAGTTAGTTTCCTTTTAAAAACATAATACGTTAAAAGAAACAAGCATGTCAATATGGTAGATCAGGTCCGGAGATGTGTTTATCTGGAAAACTATCAAACGTCTTTTTCATTCTTTGATTTGAAGCAACCACCATTCATGTTAATAATAATCATTAATGTGTTTTTTAATTATTTTATGAATATAAACTACCAACTCCAGACTGGAAAGATGTATTATTGTCGACTAGAAATCCACCTAGAGGGTTTTTTTATGATGGAACACCTTGAGATAAAACGGTCATTTACAGCCGACATGTTTGGGAGAGCGAGTTTTGAAACCCATGAACAATCTTCATCCTTATCTTTCTTCAATGATAAAATGAGAGTACCACTGTGTTAGTCACGTACATCAACATACACAAACTCTCTCTCTATCTGCCCTCAGAACTTTCCACCTCTCGTCTTCAAGAAAATGTTTGACGGCAGTAATGAACACATAACACATGAAGGTGAATATAAAAATTCACACAGACACATACACAGCTGAAGTTTGTGTAGTCCCTTGTATTTGGTCATCGTGCAAGTGACAGGTCTTCACATTAAAACTGACCGGACATTGCCTGGACACGACTATCCACGGTAATGATATAGCTGTAATTAGGACCACTGAGTCACTGTGACAGTGATAAACACATTCAGGTGGTCCTTCTACAACACCTGGGGCGAAAACGAGTTCTTTTATTAATTGCAACATCTCGGGGAAGTTTCTGGCAATCTTCGGAGATGAATGAATGAACACCTTCCCCCTCCCACAACCACCATTACCACATTTTTTTCGGTCAGTCATGAGACAAACCCAAACAATAACAATCTACATACATTTTGCATTTTGATGTTGGCATTTTAAACTATTTGATATCCAAATTTGACAGCATTTATTTTACAGAATATTTTGGGGCAGATACAAGTAATAGCTAATAGTTCGTTGGACGAATCCGATGGACTTGTTTCCGAAGACTGATCCACGGACAATTGGACAGTATTATCATATGTGCTGTAAATCAAAATAAAGGCTCTCGCATTGACTATATAATGCATATTGGTTTTGAAATTTGACCAACGGAATTAAGTAAGATGAAAAAATCCGTGTTAGCTTTCTGACGAATCACCAAAATCCAGTTTGAATTTGAATTGACCAAATCGGCCGTCGTTCAACGGTACAGACCTTCGGTTTTTTCGCAGTTGTACCTTTTTATGGAAATTAAACATGTTTATCTGAAATCGTGCTTGACCATCTGCCTGTGTTGCTATGGCTATGCAGCGTGGAAAACATCCAAGAGAGGGTCACTTATATTGATGTCCGATTTTCTGAGTCATCTTCCAAATTTATGGCTTCCTGGTTCCATTAAGTCGCCGAAACCAGTTATCTTGACACGGATGACCCGGAATGACGCTGACCTAAATATGACTGCCATCGCAACACCTGGGCTCACGTGCAGGTAATATATTACAATACATTACTAATCGACAATTATGTCCACTTTAACGACATTCATCTGTTATTTATAAAACAAATCCTGGCATACTGCGAAAAAAATGTGATCCGGAGCACCTGCATATTAAACGCCTTTTATATATCTAGAATCGTATTGTTAGTACAAGGATTGTTGTTTTTATTAAAGGCTCCAGGAACCGCTAGTTGTTAAACCTACAATAACAAAAATACCCAGTCGTCTTTGAATACAGGTAAACGCATTCTGCACAAGCAAATTTGATTGATAAAGGTCATATATAGTCTACTGTTCTAATTATAGAACCGGAGACTATACTTAGATCTTTTATACTCCCTATTCTTGTTGGCGTCGTCGGTGAAAAGATGACAATCAAACTGTCTTAGTTGTCAGGTACAATGTACATATACATTTGTATCAACAGAGAAGTGACCGATTATACTATACTGTGAATTGAAATCAATACACGACTTAACCAATTTTATTTGAAACGAAATTGGAGCAATTTATATGAAATTTACATAAGTGTTAATTTAATTTAATATAGATTAATATAAATTTCAGTGGTTGTGAACAAGTTTTAGAATATTGCGTGTATCACACTTCCCAAATATAAACAACCTCGAACAAAAGTGTTTATCAATTTTCATTTAAATACACAAAGCTTACCAGGAATGACGGTATATTCAGCGCCCTTGGCATGAGACGATGGCAGCAACAATTGCCACAACGACAAGTTTTCATAGCCAACGTTCATTCTAAACAAGCATTATATTGAATCGTATATTTGAAAGGAGTGTGTTATTATCGTTGCATTCGCTATTAGGATAAATACGTCCCCCGTGGTTTTAACATACATTTGTAGGGTAACAGTAACAATGTATTTCTGCTACGAGAACTCATTTTGGAAAGGTTTGTTCGATTTTAGAGAAGTTGTCTCTTTCTTCCCCTATTAATCAACAAACACCGTAAGAGGTTTTATGTAAACTTCTTTCTCTGAATTGATACATATGATTTGCATTTACGGAATATTTTTACATTCTTTGACAGAATTCGATTTTTAAATGAGTTCTCCTTTCCGCAGTATTTCTGGTTATTTATAGTTGTGTTTAAAACAATAGAAAAAAACTCATATATTGAATAAAATCCAAATTATTCACATCATTACAAGGACAACTACTGAATATACTTAACGCAGTCTTTTAAATCTCCCTCTCACTTGGGGAACGCAAGTTTAAATATGGCCCTGCACCATGTAGAATGTATTTATTGATTTTAAAGGCCCTGATCCGGCGTTTTGTGTCGGCCTTGTATTACAGTGACGGGTCAGTTAATGGAACACGACTCGACAGGTAGGTTTTGATTAACTGCATGGCCTTGTACAACAGACATCTGTAATACATAATATTGACGGGTTTATATGCATCGTGCAATTGTGTGATTTTCTTGTCGTGTATAATATATATATCATAATGTACCTGAAGTAGTATGATAAATATCATCTGAGCAAATGTAGGTAATATAACGGTAATATATATACACTTTATATACCTGTATCACGTAGACCCATATCTTTTTACAATCTACGATCATCATCGTCTTATTTAATATCTAATATTGAAATATAAGTTTATAAGTTACTACATATAACATGATATTTCCCACGCAGTAAATATATCCTCAGCCACACTGTCTAGTGTTCTGGACAAGGGCTTTCTTCTATCACGTTTACTGGTAAGGGGGAATAACTGCTATAAACTACTTTCACGTATATATAAAACTGAAGGGGGGTGGGGGTCTCAATTGTTTTTTCTATGATGTCTATTTTGGCTATTTTAATCCGAAATGATTTTTAAAAGTAAAATTCCCCTTATTGGAACAATCTTTATATGTATGCTTCATGTAACAGAGGCCCGCCATGTCACTTTTAAAAATGTAAACAATCCCTTACCATGCTGTCGATTTAGTATGTATATGTGATGCATTGTATGCTCGTTATGCCAGTTTCTTTGTTTTATTTGGGTTTTTTTTTTCAATTATTCCATAGACAGTTAGTTTCTATTTTCTGAAATACAGATTCGCGATGTCACACATTTATTAACAATTTTGTACCAAACTGTATATTTTTCTGTACTTTACATCCGACATGGCATGCGGTTTTTCTTATAACCCAATACAAAACTGTATGTGTGTTATATTTTCTATATTTTGGACCCTCCATTTTAGTTTGTTTGTCTTATTTCACGATTCCCAGTCGCTTGTTTACATTTTTATTACAGGCCCGCCATGCCAGTTGTGCGGGTTCCTGACGAGACGGGACACACTCTGACACTTCTTGAGGTAGATGGCACCTACCGCGCCACATGCAGTTCGGTACCCGACCACGAGAACGAGGTCAGGTCTATACCAACGTGGCTGGCACGTGATGATGACGTCCTTATTTGCTCCTATCCTAAATCTGGTGAGAATTTACACATTTAGACAGGATGTCAAAAAGTCTTTTTTTCTTCAGTATAAAAGTCTAATTCATGGATCATTGAAAGTTAAGTAACTTGTTTTTTAATGTTCCCGCGGATTCTATGTCATATAGTTATCTCCCTTTAACGATACGATCACCTAACACTATATTGTAATATGTTACCTGTCGTCGGTTCCTATATGATTCGGCTTGTTTTGACTCATCCAGACAGGTATATGATAAATATAAAATTAAGTTTTTAACTAAAGTTATTGAACACATCATTTCTTTACTAGGTACACATTGGTTATGGGAGGTAACGTCTATGTTGATAAGAAACAAAGCGGAGCGAATTCCTGGTGAAAAAGAGTCAGCCATGCTAGAGCTGATACAACAGTCTCGATTTGATAACCTCCCGTCCCCAAGAGTTCTCAACACACACGTCCAGTATGGGCACGTACCTAAAGACTTTCTCGATCGGAGATGTAAAATACTCTACATGATCCGGAATCCGAAGGACGTATCCGTTTCCTTTTTTAATCACCACGCAAAACTTTTGGATTATGAATTTACTGGACCATGGGAAACATATCTGCCAAGATTCCTTCGAGGGGATGGTAATTTGCATAAAACATGTTGAAAAGATTTTTAAAATATGGAAACTTACTAAATGTTTAAAAATAAAATGTTGTATTATGTAAACTATATGATAATATCAGCCTTTTTTGTCTGATACATTGTTTGAAACAAAAAAGTTACTTTCAGTTGACGGTGGCAGTTGGTTTGACTATACCCTCAGTTGGGAAAATTTCATCCTACAAATTCCAGACTACCCCATCCTTGCCATTTATTACGAGGACATGAAATCGGTACGTACATTAGCTTCTGCTTTCTAATCTTTGCCCAGTCATTGCTAACAACATTCTGAATCCCATGACAAAGTCATGCAAGTGCTTATTTATCACTGAGTACAGCGATGTATGATGAAAACGTATTACTGAATTAAGCAGCCGCATGGATTCCACTGACACATACACGTTACTGAGAAGCAAGTTGCATGTTTTTTCTGGGCGAAGTTAACTTCATACAAAATGTACGTTATTTAGTTTCCTTTGACAAATAGTCCTGTTTAAATTGTCCTGAACATATTTTACCCAGAACCATTTCAAACGACAAAGTCATCGCCGTTTCAACAAACTGTTTCATTTCATATAATCCTTTGATGCTGTTAGAATCCATTTCGGGAAATTCAAAGGATAGCGACATTTTTGGAGGTCCCATGTGACGTCATGTTCCTAGAACGCGTTACCCAACTTTGTGACTTCAACACAATGAAGACGGACAAGGAGCGCTTGGAGGACGCAGCTGACTGGAGAGGTGGAAAGTCCGACATGTACCGAAAAGGTAGCCAGTCAAAAACGTTTTTCTTTTGTCACGCAACTAATGATAGTAAGTCGATCATAATTCATGACGCATTTGTAAAATATTCTCTGGCAAAAGTCACTTGATAATACATAAAATAATATTACACGTACGAGATATTGAAATAATATATAGGATAATATTACAAGTATGAAATATTGAAATAATATATGAAATAATATTACAAGTACGACATATTAAAATAATATATAGGATAATATTACAAGTATGAAATATTGAAATAATATATAAAATGATATTACACGTACGAGATATTGAAATAACTAATTTTTTTAATGTTATTTTCAGGAAAGGTTGGTGACTGGAAGAACTGGTTTACTGTGGGACAAAACGACCTTTTTGACAGAGTTTTTGCAGAACGAATGCATAACTCGAAAACGAATATTCGATTTTCTCTATAAAAGTCCGAATTGAAGAATATATTTTGCACGAGTCAAGCAATTACTGGCCGTACCGAAAACAGATATGGAAATTCGGGCTCGATCATGAAGTTGATCCCTCGGTGGCTAAAACACAACTGGCCTGAGAAATAGGTTTTAAATGTACAGGGTAAATGGTAGCAGTAAATGTTATCGTCAAGGATTGCTCTTAATACTGGAGTATTCCAGTCCTCTGTTACAGTTAGATATGTTGGTGTTTCTCGTGTCGTGACGCTGGAAGATGGAAACCTATCACTAGATAATATATGATACAATTGGTGTTGACTAGCAGCTCATTAGTAATTTCATGATACACTTTTATTCGAATTACATGTAGCTGCATAGAAATAAAATTACAAATGAAACGATTTTTTTCTTGGTTTATGCAGACATACACGTCGTCTCTGTTTTATAGTAGAAAGTGTGTAAAAAGACAAGAGTAATAACGATGGTTAGTCACGATGCTTTATTGGCCGTAGAGATATTACTGAAGTCTTGTCCAGCCGAACTCTCCCCTCCCTCTCCCCCCCCCCCCCCCCCCCCCCCACCCCCAAAAAAAAAAAAAATAAATAAATAAAATAAAAACTCACCTTCCTTTTATGCCTAAATTCTGTTAGACCCAACCGTGGCAATGTCTGATTGGTTCATCTTAATATCAGGATAAACTTCAGATAATTAAATTACCAAATCCTTAAATGTTTTGTTTACTAAAGATTTCATGTTTCGGACTTAACTCTGGTGTGACTGTACTTTCAAAGATTTCATGTTTCGGACTTAACTCTGGTGTGACTGTACTTTCTAAGGCAGACCGCCGCTCAGAAGATAGCTGAGCTGGCCCAGTAAATAGACTAATAAAATAACATTGCTGTTCATTATCAGAATAACAGTTTGAATTAATAGTTCACACTTTATCCACTTGGATTTACAAACTGATAAAGTTAAATCTTCAATCAATCCTCCGAGCACTACACTAACTGTGTATCCCCGATACTTATCCATTGAAGTTCTATTTCGTAACAAGTGACATTTATGTCGTGTTACGTACTAAACGAAAAATATAATATTTTTTGTCGAATAACAGTAATAATGACTTGCAATCTTAATGCTCGGAATAGGATTTTACATAAGTGCCAAAATCTAGTTCGAAATCATTTTGTAACAATAAAATGAGTTTGAATGGGCCACTATAGACTTGATGTTACGGTTACTATTTTAACGTTCAGTAGATTTCCAAATTATAGAACGACATTTACATACCTAACTGCTCTTTATATTTGACATTTAAAACGAAAGCTTTATGAATAGATATCTCTTGCTGTTTTAGCAATTATTTACTGTAATATAATATTTTTTCGTTGGGTTCAATTTTCGTGGTTGACAAAAAATTCACTTTTTCGTGGATATTTGATTTTTTGGAAAAATGTAGCTCAATAAATAATCTTAATCTAATTATATCACGTCGTGGGCCTATGAACTCATGGATAAAGATTACCCATGGAATCAAGGGATATAGATTCTTGTATTTTCAGTGGTCTCTATACAAATCTTTCTGAATCTTTCATAGTTTCATCGATTTTGAATAAAGCTTTAATCTATATTTTCTACAGAACGTACAATATTACTTTGTTTTTAATTGATCTGCTTATAAAGTTGTACATCATATAGAGAAATTAGTATTTAACAAAATTTTCAAAAAAGATCGATCAAGATTTTCCGGCAAGAATGCCTGTCACCAATTTTAAAAATATTACTGTGAAGGCTTTCTTAAATAAGGAAATGGTTGCTTTTTTATTTGTAATTCAATTCATTATAAAAGACGAGTTATTGACTGGATATTTAAAGAAAGAAACAATCATAAGTAGACCATTTCATATACATGTACTGTATACTGTAGAGACAGGTATTTTTGAGGGGCATAAATTTCGTGGGTTTTTTTTTTAATTCTGAAAAATGTACAATTTATGAACACTTCAACACGCTACCAACATGGAGCATATGATGGACATGTATTTTATATATAACGTGCTAGATCATTGTGCAACCTAAACAATAGAAACCAGTCCTTTAAACTGTCGTTTCTAGTTTCCTACATGGACTACTGTGAGTTGCTGACAGTACAATGAGTGGAACATAGGATCATTATCACTACTCACCTATTGCATAAAAGCTGAAGATTTCATCTCTATAATACTTTCCGTAAATTGAATTAAATTTACTTATTTGTATAGTTCATTATAATATCCAAATCTTCCCAGTCTAAATTTTACTGTTGTTGGTATAACTGCCAGCTTTATTTAAATGTTAATGATCCTGAACTCAGTAAACATCAGCACAGGTAACAGGATATTCTAGTATCAAATACAGGTATTCACATATCTTAGTTGATGCATAGATGTATCTTTTTCGCACAGACCGAGTATTACGATAACAGTCGGTTTGGCACAACGTACCCCGCCGAGAGCCCCTACATGTGGCCTCGATTTACTCTGGGTTCAGATACAGGACATTCAACACAGCAACAGTTTGGTAAGTTAAAAGTCTTAAAAGTAGGTTCCATTTACATTGAAAGTGTATTTTATTCTGAATGCTAACATTTTAAAGACTAAACCTAGCGAGAGAGATTTAGAACTATATATAATTTACATATCAAAACCTTGCTAAATGATACATAATACCGTCTCTTTAAAGTAAGAAGCTCGTGTACAGACTGACTATATCTACCGTACACCTTTAGTTTCCCCTAGTGTTGTATAGAATGACTACGTCCGCTCTAGGGACGTCCTAGAATACGACCGCTGATACATGCTTACGTTGTAAAGTTTTACAGTGGTCAGTGTATATTGGTGTCTTGGAGCTAGGATTGTCGGACACCAGTTAAAGTGTACATAGGTTTTACTTACTTTCACGTTTTGATGTGATTTCTATAAGACCCGGGATATGCTTACTGATAAGTGTAATCGCAGTATTTTTAAATAAATAAAATCATGTATCTACTTGTCATATAAGCCGATTACGTCGGAGTGGACCTTTAATTGTACATTTGTACATGTATATACTACTCGTGGACGTTAGAAATAAGATATGTGTATATTACACATCTCACTATCATAATGGTGTGACATCACGAAATCTTCTTTTTTCGCATGTTATGCAATCCAGGGTTTGATTCACAAATGTAAATTACATACATTGATTCAATCTGGCTGCGTATACATATCGCTTATCTTAAAAAGTCTGAAATTTCAATTTTAGACTCAGAATGTTATTTTTATTCTCTTCTATCAATATATCAAAACAATGTAAGTCACCTCTTCACAAAAAATATAATAGGTAAGGTCAATACTGTACCACACTCGCTGCATATGATTAACAACAATTCCTGCACAAGTATCAAAACGGGACAAGCTGTTTATAACCTTTTTTTTTCTTACAATTTTTCTACCTTCAGTAAATCATAAAGATGCCTGTCAAAAACTTAATGGATAATGGTGGGAGCGGCCTTAAAGTTATAGATCTTGACGGCTATTATCTACCAACATTTAGCCAACTCAAATCTCACGAAGAGGAACTGCGTTCCATGCCGGATTGGATGGCCCGGGATGATGACGTCATGATTTGTACTTATCCCAAATCAGGTATGTCTTTCAAAAGCCTATATTATGAATTGTTTCCAAACATTGGTGTATCTGTCAAGAAAGACGATGCCACTATGCCCAAGATGAAGATTCCATTTTATAATTCTGAAAAGATCAGTGAAGTAGATTTTTGAATTTCATTAAGTGTTTTTATTCAGATATCTAACATATATTTGAAATAATTGTTTCTCGTATTTTCTATCAAGGCACCCACTGGCTATGGGAAATCGTAAGTATGCTGGTTAAGAAGAAAGCGGAAAGGATCAGTACCGTAAAGGAGACCGCCATGATGGAAATTATGAGCAAAAAAACACATGACAACATTCCGTCCCCACGTGTTCTCAATAGCCACGTGTACTTTGAGTACCTGCCAAAGGACTTCGCAAAACGCAAGTGCAAGATCGTGTACGCCATGCGAAATCCTAAAGATGTGGCGGTGTCCTTTTTTAACCATCACAGTAAAATACTTGAATATGAATTCTCGGGAACCTGGGAACACTACGTTGATAGATACTTAAAAGGCGATGGTAAGTTTTGATTTGAACGTATCAAAAAAAAATTTGTCGTAGCATTTTCTTTTTTTTAATTTTGTATGCATTATAGGAAAAACTCAGTAATGCGGCTTCAACAAAGAATTGTATTTCGTGAGTGATATTACTTCATAAAAATCTACTTCACAGATAGTGCAGTGGTTTAAATTGAATCATTTTACCAACTAAACACTGAATGAAAATGTATAGCCTTTTCCTCAGGTTGGCAACGTATATTGTAGCGTGATTTCTTTTTTGGCTTTTCTGTTTTAAATCTGATTTTTTTTTTATTGAAATGTAATATTCACCTGCAAGTATTTTGTACACTCGTCGAGATTTCAGGTGGTAGAAGCAGCTGGCTGACTTTTAGTTCATGGAGTTTGCCGTTACCTGAATGCTATGATTTAGTTCATTCTAATAGTGGCACGGTTCAGAACATACGCTTGAACTTGACTTTCATTTGAAAAAAATCAGATACACTGAATATTACAAAAAATATAAAAAATATTGAATAATTGGATTAGTACCGCTCCCCATCAAGATTTTGATATTTCATAGATGGGCGAATACGTTTTATATTGCAGTTTAATTCATTGGTTTGCTCTACTTTGTCTAATCTTACTAATCACTTCTTTGTACAATCATTGTATAAAAGTAAGAAAATGATGTCTGCTATCTCAATGTTTGATGTATTCATTGTCCGAAATGTTCGAGATGCACACGACACTTCGCCTATAGGATAATACTATGTACATTAAAGTGGAAAGGAATGTGAAAACAGAGACCGAATCGGTGAGCTTACATGCGCACGTCAGGTGATAACAATGTACTAATCAAACGAAGTCGAATCGACTTTCATGTGAAAGTATATTTTTATCACCTAAAATTTGTTTGGAAGATTACAAATTCGGCCTGATTTGATTAAATAGATAATTACACATGTATAGCAAAAACGTTCAATTTTTGAAAGCACACATACCACAATGTCCGGAGGGGATGTATTTAAATATGTTGCCTATCACGAATTACTTTGTCAGAAGTTATATCATCAATTTCCTAACAATCACTCATATTTGCATTCTATAGAAATTGGTTGACCTACATACCGCTTTTGTCGATATACCTTAATGAAGTTCCTGATGACACTGTACAAGAAAGTCAACGTCAATGAATTTATATATAGCGACATAAAATATTTACTTTTAACATATGTGGTTATTTTTATTGGTGTTATTACAATAACAGATATTATTACACGTATACACTGAGGTCTGTCCTATTACAGTTGATCATTCTTTTTTGTTATTCAGGAAATTTAAAAAAAAAAAAACTAATTATCAGAAGCAATCTCAGATCTAATTAACATGGATCACCTTTTATATAATTTCGCTTTGCTTTTGTTTACTTTTTTTAAAGGATAATACGGCTTTTTGACAGTTCTTGACTTGCTTGGTTACAAATGAAGATTAAAACAGACTAGAAACTCGTGTTTCATTACGTAATGGGTCTCGGGGATCTGATAATGTAAATATTTAAGTGTTTTGAAATACAAATAAATGGTAAAAAGGTTTCATGGTCGCCTTGGTGATATTATTGCAAAATTGAACGTAAAGCATACGTGTTAGTATCAGTATGAAAAGATTGCGTTCTCTCGTCCGTGGCTCTCACTTAGAGAACGTTAGATTTCATTAATTTGGTTTCAGACATCGATGAAACAGTAATAAGTCTTGGTTATGTGAATAAATGGTATATATACCATTTACTATAATTTACTTATTACGCTTTGTGGACCTCTTCGATTTGACAGTACAAAGGGTTAAAATATTGGTCTGTTACTGAATATCACATTTTGTACAAGCCCACTTTCTTTGGACAAAAGAAATGAGATTATTGAATATATTTGTTTGTTGATACTTTTTCAGTTGATTACGGGACTTGGTTCGATTACACCCTAAAATGGGAAAAATTCATGGCAGATAACCCAGATTATCCAATAATTGCAACAACTTTTGAGGACATGAAAGAGGTAATGAAAACTTTTCTACTTTGAAGGTCTCCCAAAACTCCTCGGCCAATGCTGTTCATTAATTCATTTTGTTTTTGGGGACCAATTTGACGACATTACCAAATCTCCTCTCTACATACTTGAATTAATACTATGTTCATGCAATCTCATATGTCATATTAATGTTAAAATGCTAAAGGTTTATGGACTGACGATTTGGTCGATTATTTGGGGATTCCACTTTCAAAAATCCTTAAAAGAAAATAAAATGGTCAGACTGTTTGCATTCACCCTGAGAAATCTTTTAAAAAGCACATATACAAATCTTATTTCCCCTGCCTGTATTTTACGAAACAGTCACACTGTACACAAAAACGGAAAATAGTCTCTACGACTTTTGTTATACTTCTCACAGTTTCAAACTTCATTTTTATCCGAGAATCATCTCAAATCTTTACTAAGTATTCGATCGTGTTTGGCAAATCCCGGGGTAATTACCCGATTCATATGCATGTATATTGCATTCTTTAAGGACGCTCTACGAGAGGTGACACGCATCGCCAAGTTCCTCGAAGTAGATTGTGACCAAGCTTTTCTTCAGGAAGTCACCGACCTCTGCCACTTTGACCGCATGAAGAAGGAGAAAGTCAATATGGAGGAGATTGACTCGTGGAAAGATGGTCAACCTGGGATGTATCGCAAGGGTAAAAGATATATGTACTCAAACCAAACAAATTCCTGAACAAATATGTTGGAAAGAGAAGATCATGAAATGTTTTGTTTTTTTAATAGTGATAATGTAAGCAATACATGTTGCAGCGTTGATATTGTCAATCATAAAAATAGTTAGTTGTATTTATAGTTATATTTATCATGGGCTTCTATTGCTTTTAACGATAAATTTTGGGTACCACATAACTTGTCAAAATTTTCGAGATCTTCTTTTAAAACGGTCGAATTACATTCTACAGAATTAATTGGTTGTAAAAGGACGTCTTATACCATTGTGTCTCTTTTATCACGAACCAATTTTTAACGTACTGCAAAATAGCGAAAACACAATTCCTGCGGAAATAAAAGAGTTCTCTGAAGTAAACTTTATAACATCCTATTTTTTAGGTGATGTTGGCGATTGGAAGAACTGGTTTACGGTAGCACAGAATGAATTTTTCGATCGTGTTTACCAAGAGAAAATGAAGGACTCAAAAGTTCAACCAAGATATACGTTATGAAAGCCTACTGTGGTTTCTATTCATGAAAATAACGTACAATTGTAACTCCTATGTGAATTCATATAATTCACTGATTGGTTGATATTGATCATTTGAATTAATATTTGTGTCATGTTGTGTCCTTCAAGATACGCAGATAAATGTAACGGCGTGTAGTCCGCGCATTTCGTTTTTTTTCGCTACACTTAAGGATGTACACCACACCATCGATTCTCCAGGGGTTACACTCACTATCACTTTCTGCAAAATTGAAAGCACAAGAAAAGAAACTTTTTATTATACATATATATACTTTTTTGGCTTCTCTCTCTTGATATTTTTTTCGCATAAAACATGATGAATATATAAATGATCTACGTAAAATCTTTTCCTATCACACATTTTTTAATGTTTGTTATTATAGAATAGGTCACCCCGACGATTGTATCTTGCGGCACATGACCCCAATAATATATAGTTATACACAGATGATATCGTAATTATGCTGATGGAGCTTGTAAGCTGTCAAATTCTTGCTTCTAATTATTTCTTTATTCAAAGGTTATGTCTACATTATTGATTATGGCAATAGCTTGCTAATACTGGTAAAAATGTTAAGGATGACATGAACACAGCTCACATTATCATCAAATGAACAAGCATTCCCCATCATATGAGATTCTCGTCCTCCTTAACTTTAATAATTTTATTCAGCATCTAAGTCGCATGCGCAAGCCTTCACAGGTTCGGGTGTAGCCTTACATATAGAGAAATGCACAATGACCTTTGTGGGTTTGTTAAACTGAAGCTAGGTTGTAGTTAGTCCTTTATAATGTACAAGGGTTAGGCTTATATTTTACACGGGTTTATTGTTTATATTGATAATCTTTGGTTAACTCATTAAATGATTAATATAACAATTGTTAAGTAGATTTGCTTCATGTACTTTTTCATTAAAAATATCCATCATGTTTTGTACATCGACTTTGTTGAAAATATCAAAAACAGAACCACCATGTAGTAAATCATACAATTGTGTACGTGTCTTAATTAGTATCATTGACATAGCGATGTTTATTTTGTAGAATTTATAAGCTATATATGCTTGTATTGAATTACAATATCAATGTTACAAGAACAATCGTTTAACTCCTTCGTTTTTGTGGTATGTGAACTTATACATATACAAGCACACTAGCATGCAAAAAATGTTTGTTGCTATCTATTAGTGTTGTGTCTTTTAATTCTGGTGGGTATATGATATTGACGTGATCAACAAATTTCTTGTTATCTAAAGACAAAACGTCATCAATATATTGGAAAATAAAATGAAACAAATTTGCGAAGTCTTTGTAATCTGTTTTAATAAGCTCTACGATGGATACAGCTCCGTATGAAAAGTTAGCCAACAAACGGGCAAAGTTAGTTCCCTTAGATATGCAAATAGCCTGTTGTAGGATCTTACCACAAAACTCGACGAAGGTGTTTTCAACCAAATTGTGTTAGTCCGAATTATTCTGGTGATCTTTCGATTTTGATATCGGTCAGGTATGGTGGTTTATATCTGTCATTTTGTCTTTGTCTGATGTCTGGTCCTGCTATCCGTAAGTGATAACCTGTTTAATTATTAAGGACCTAGAAACCTATTTTAACAGATTCCTCATCAATGTAGCGAAATCAATGTGGGGATACTTTTGATGAAGGACAATTATCCAAGATATAAATTATGTTTGCATATCCCTCCGCGAAAAGGTAGTATAAAAGGCAGTAAAATATCGAAAGAAACATTGATTTGAACGCAAATATCAGATACGCGTGAAAACAAGGGAAATGGGTTGCCTCCCTTCCCATGAGTGTCAGCAACGGTATGTTGATCGGTATCAGAGTTACTTCAATTATTTAAGTGTGTTCCGTTTGGTTACGACTTTGTTCATTGGTACAATAAAAACTGTTGTTTCAATTATAGAATATCTCATATATGGAATGTCTCATATAACTTTTTTAAAGAACTTCACTTACATGAAAGCAGTAATGCATCCAGCATTAATACCAACCAGTCGACACTATTATCAACCTCAAATTTTTATCAACGATGGATTCCTCCTGCATTTGATCTAAATTTATTTCATTTACAAATTAAATTTCAATAGGTACAATATACAATATCTATGCATTTAAGCATTATGCTGTAATTTTGCGTTGTGTCAGTCCAATCAGTCTGTTTTGTTTATTATATATCAACGCTCTTTTAGGTTTTGCCTTCTTATATTAAGATGTATGATGATTTATGAGCACAAATATTTCCCATAAATATGTTCTGTTATAGTGAACTAGTACGCCGTATATGCCTGATCACGGATGATCCCCTCCACTAATTCATATTTTTGTGAGCATGCATAAATATTTGATATTAAAAACGAAACTGAAAGCTTGTATCAGAGATAGCATTAATAGTAGAAAGTAACATATATATCGTGTTACGTACTTAAAGCGAAAAAGATATCATTTTTATCTACTAACAGTAATAATGACTTGCAATCGTAATGCTCGGGATAGGATTTTACATCAGTGCAAAAACTAGTTCGAAATCCCTTTGTAACAATAAAATGAATTTAAATGGGTCGCTGTAGACATGGCTTTAGTGTTTAATATCTTATCGTACAGTATACAAATTATAGAACGACATTCTAACATTTACATACCTAACTGCTCTTTATATTTGACATTTAAAACGAAAGCTTTATGAATAGATCTCTATTGAGCTACTAGCAATTATTTACTGTAATGTAATATATATTCGTTTGGCACAATTTTCGCGCGTGTCTTAAAATCACTCTTTCGTGGATATTTGATTTCGTGGGGAAAATATAGCTCAATAAATAATCTTAAACTAATTATATCACGTCGTGGGCATATGAACTCATGGGTAAAGATTATCCATGAAATCAAGGAATATAGATTCTTGTATTTTCAGTGGTCTCCATACAAATCTTTCTGAATCTTTAATAGTTTTATCGATTTTGAATAAAGATTTTATCTATATTTTCTCCGTTGATTTTGAAATACGAGTTTAAGAAAGCCACTTTATCAACTATTGTGAAGGTTAGACAGAACCGAATGGCATTTTAAACCATCTACAGAACGTACAATATTACTTATCAATTGATCTGCTGATAAAGTTGTACATCTTATAGAGAAATTAGTACAAAATTTTTAAAGATGGTTGTTAAAAGATCGATCAAGATTTTCCGGCAAGAATGCCTGTCTTTAATAAGGGATTGTTCCATTTGTAAAGGTTCCTTTAAGCAATTCATTGTAAAAGACAAGTTATCGAATAGATATATAACAAAAGAAACAATCACAAATAGACCATTTCATATACATGTGCTGTATACTGCAGAGACAGGCATTTTTGAGGGGCATAAATTTCGTGTTTTTTTTTTTTTAATTCTGAAAAAATGTACAATGTATGAACACTACACTACCAACATGGAACATATGATGGACATATATTTTATATATAACGTGCTAGATCATTGTGCAACCTAAACAATAGCGACCAGTCCTTTAAACTGTCGTTTCTAGTTTCCTACAAGGACTACTGTGAGTTGCTGACAGTACAATGAGTGGTACATAGGATCATTATCACTACTCACCTATTGCATAAAAGCTGAAGATTTCATCTCTATAATACTTTCCGTAAATTGAATTAAATTTGCTTATTTGTATAGTTCATTATATTATCCAAATCTTCCCAGTCTAGATTTTACTGTTGTTGGTATAACTGCCAGCTTTATTTAAATGTTGATGGTACGGAACTCAGTAAACATTAGCACAGGTAACAGGATATTCGAGTATCAAATAAATGTATTCACATATTTTAGTTAATGCATAAATATATCTGTTACGCACAGACCGACTGTTACGATAACAGTAATTTTGGCATAACTTAACCCGCCGTGAGTCCCTACATGTGGCCTCGATTTACTTTGGGTTCAGATACAGGAACAGGACATTCAACACAGCAACAGTTTGGTAAGTTAAAAGTCTTAAAAGTAGGTTCCATTTACATTGAAAGTGTATTTTATTTTGAATGCTAACATTTTAATGACTAAACCTAGCGAGAGAGATTTAAAACTATATATAACTTACATATCATAACCTTGCTAAATGATACATAATACCGTCTATCTGAACTAAGACGTTCGTGTATAGACTGGCATTAGTTTCCCATAGTGCTGTAAAGAATTACTACGTCCGCTCTTAACTTAGGAGGTGTAACACACTGATTTCTTCTCTTTTTCATATTATGTAATCCAGGTTTTGATTCACAAATGTAAATTACATACATTGATTCAATTTGACTACGTATACATATCGCTTATCTTAAAAAGTCTGATATTGCAATTTAAGACCCAGAATTTTATTTTTATCCTCTTCAATCAATATATCAAAACAATGTAAGTCACCTCTTCACAAAAAATATAATAGGTAAGGTCAATACTGTACCACACTCGGTACATATGATTAACAACAATTCCTGCACAAGTATCAAAACGGGACAAGCTGTTTATAACCTTTTTCTTTCCACTATTTTACTTTCAGTAAATCATAAAGATGCCTGTCAAAAACTTAATGGATAATGGTGGGGGCGGCCTTAAAGTTACAGATCTTGACGGCTATTATCTACCAACATTTAACCAATTCAAAACTCACGAAGAGGAACTGCGTTCAATGCCGGATTGGATGGCCCGGGATGATGACGTCATGATTTGTACTTATCCCAAATCAGGTATGTCTTTCAAAAGCCCATATTTATAAACTGTTTTCCAATGTTTTCAATGTTTATTTGTCAAGAAAGACGATGCCACTATGCCCAAGATGAATATTCCTATTTATAGTTCTAGAAAATGGAAAGATCAGTGAAGTAGATTTTTGAATTTCATCAAGTGTTTTTATTCAGATATCTAACATATATTTGAAATAATTGTTTCTCGTATTTTCTATCAAGGCACCCACTG